GAGTCCAACCTCCAAAAACCTATTTGGGGTTGACTTGTTCTGGATGTCTTTGAATCTCCTATCACCCAATCAAATCTCTCCACGGGTGCTGCTGGTATGTCTAAATATGGGGAGCTTCTCCTGCAAGCGGGGGGCGGTCGCAGCATGTCGATCCGCTATCTTGTTCCCCCCTTCTCTTGCTCGCACCTCACACCAGTACCTTTCAGCGGATGTATTCGTTTTCCTCCCACTTCCTCATATAAGCTCCTCACGCTGCCGCCATCCAGGAAATAGGTGCTCCACCCGACCCGTGAACCCCTGACACAAAACAGATGTTACTTTTAATGTCATCGTAAAATTATTATCTTTATTTCTCTATTCCCAATTATCACGTTTGGTCCGAAACACTTCCTGTTTTTCCCACTTGTCCAAAATTTTCCGGCCTGAGAAAATCTTGTTCCTTAGTGACACGCGCACTTTCCACCCCTATGAACGAGTGATATAGAATCATTTCTCTTTTCCCCCTCCTACTTGTAGCCATAAAATTATTATCTATCATTAGCTTGGTGATCTTTGTCCAAAATCGCATTCCCCTAACATCGTCCCCTGGGCTTCATTTTAATCAGATGCCTAAGTGGATTTCAGCGCTATCGAAATGAGAGAAAAAAATAAAAGTATATTTTCTTTTGTTCTCGACATGTCCTTCAATCTATCTACTACTTTCTTCGTCTTTGTGTTCACTCTGGATTTAATTTAATCCTTTTTACTTTCTTCAAATTATTAGCATTCTTACAGTGTCACACGTACACAAACAAATATATATATATATATATATATATATATATATATATATATATATATATATATATACTCTAGTGTAGTGCGAGTTTTTTATGATCATTTTTTTACACAAAAGTAAGCGGTCGCACTATACACAGATAAATATTTTTTTCGTGGGTGGGGAGTTTAAAATTCATGCATTTTTGGTGACCGTAAGCTACTTGCGTGGGAGGTAGGTCCAGAGTAAAGCAGCATGGACGCAAACAAAAGTACGTTATATAAATCTTCGTATCAGATATTTTACGTTAAGTGTTTTTTCTCACCATTTTGTGGTAGATTTGTACAAAAAAAAAAAAAATGAAACTATTTAATTGCTTTAAAATATGTCTCCAGGATGATGCCCAGCACCGCAACATTTGGCCTACTAGTATTGCTCAGAAGATCGGATTGTATTATACACGAGATAATCAGGGTTTCACACGATACATGAAGTAGGCTTATATATATATATATATATATATATATATATATATATATATATATATATATATATATATATATATATATAAAATATATATATATATATATATACATATATATATATATACATATATATATATATACATATATATATATACATATATATATATACATATATATATATATATATATATATATATATATATATATATATATATATATATATATATATATATATATATATATATATATATATATATATGCAGGGTGTCTATAAAATTCATGTGCACTTTAAAAAATTTATAACTTTATTTGTATTTGCGATAGAAATAATTTGTAAAAAAAGTTAGAAAGAAGTAAATCTATATTTTTTAAGGTTTTATTGAAATTTTATTTAAGTTTCCACATGTCCCCCCATCATTAGCAATACAAAGGGTAATACGATTTTGAAGTTCACGGAAAACATTTGCCAACTGATTTACAGTAATGCCTGAAATCACATTAGTTATTTTTGCTATACTTAAAACTAGGTACATTAAACTTTATAACATTTTTTACAGATTATTTCTATCGCAAATACAAATAAAGTTATCAATTTCATAAAAGTGCACACGGACTCTATGGACACCCTATATATATATATATATATATATATATATATATATATATATATACACAGAGAGAGAGAGAGAGAGAGAGAGAGAGAGAAAATGGCGAGTAGAAGAAAATATAACCTGAACAAAAAAATCATTTTTTAGATTTTTTCTAAGAAATTTAAAATATGCTTTGAGGAGTAACATCTGCGACTACTCAAGACTGTAACGCGCATGTTAACGCATTCAGGTATTGAACTCACAGCCATTATGTCACCAATTTCACAAACCCAAGCTTTTATCCATTAGGCCGTTGTTTCGTATATAAACATCCCTCAAGTAGACTAAATAATGTGTTGCGTTTAGAATTCCCTGTAGATTACCCAGATCGGTATACAGGAAGGCTGGAGGGCACAACAGCCGAAACGCCATGATCACAGCAACAAAGATGAGGACAATAGTCCGAACACTTTGCTTATTTTTTATTATTCTATAGCAGATGTTATTTTCATAGTCTTTCATCGTCTTCTGTAATTATTGTTTAATGATGGCTTTTTTGCTGCAAGGAATTCCTTTAGATAACTTTTACGTAATATTCTTGTTGTATATTGTTCTTGACACTTTAATAGTAATGCTACTTTCATCCATTACTTGATGAGCTGTTAATTTTGATTTAGATACTGATAATCTCGCTAGCTTTCTTTGATCTCTTTTGTCTAATTATGAATGTCTACCTATCTTTTTCATATTCACCCACCTCTAACATTATGGGTGACTTTAACAGCATACCTTTATATTCTAACCTCCTTCTAACTCATTGTGTGTGACATTCCGCCAACTTTCATCCTCTTCTCCAACCTTACTCTTTCCATTTAGAAACTTTCAATCAACTGCTCTAAAAAGACAAGATGGAGGCTGCAGACTTTGTACAAAATGAGTTTGATAAATTAACATGAGAAATTTGCACGCATATCTTAACCTGTTAATCATGTTTGAAGGGGTTCATGTGTTTAGTATGTTTTATTTTCAGTAGCATGATGCGTTCAAGTCTGCATTGCCCCTCGTGCTCACCTGAATACGACAACTTGCATTACAGTCTTCAATGTGCACAAATAACCTCGCCTAAAAGTATATTCAAGAATAGTTACGGCTTTTGAGAAAAAATTAAGAAAATTAATTCTTTTTTTAATCTAGGTGGCCCATTTCTTTTGTTCGACACTGTATATATAAAGCGACAGTGAGCAGATCAAGAATCGTGGTCGGATTTTGAATAGTTTCAAGGGTAACACACCCAACTTGAAAAAGTGCTTCTGAAAATTGAATGAGTATATAGCATTAGTTTGGTGAATACATTTCCAGCATTTACTTAAATACTACGGTGCTTGGAAAGTAATTAGGGATATAAAAACAAATATAAGTTTAATTTATTTAAATATTTTCTATCAAAAATGTTACCATCCTTCATTTTCAACGACTGTAGTTCCAACTGGCAAGCAAATTTGCGATTCGTAAGCTCATCAGAAACCCAGATTCCCTCTTTGCAAATCTTTCCCAATCAAACTCTGAAATGCCCTCTAAACTTCATACTGTCGATGATAAATTAATTTGCTAGTAGTCAGTCTTAGTTCTGCCTTGGTTCGTTGGCTCAGAATTCATAGAGGTGAAATACGTAATTACTTTTTGAACACTCTAATATTTTATTCATATAACCTATTTATTCAGTCATTATTGTTTGTCCTTTGTTTTCTATAAATTTCTGTTGTAAGTTTATTTTTTTTAATTATTTCACACCTGGCAAGAGGTTCGCCTATCGCCTAGTTCACACTGCTACTCCGTTTTTAAACGGGAGGTTTATCACTTGTTTCCTGTTCAGGATTGGATTTCCGGTTCCTTCTCCTAGTCTTCTCATTCTCTTTCACTCCCAGGATCCCTTGCGTATTACAGCGGATTTCATTTTAATTCTGTATCCCGTCTGAAAAGAAGTGAAGTGGTTTCCTTGATGCATTCTCCACGGTTTTGAATTCAGTGTAGTCCTCCCTTAGAATTCCTGTCACCCAAGGCTATAAAGTCTACCCTGCTATTTATCTATCAGTTTCAAATAGACGGGCTGCGATGATTATTCTTTTTGGAAGAAAAATCAATCTGGACATCCTTTTTTCAACCCAAATTTTTGTTTAATGTTCAGAAAACTTCCTCACATCCCTTAATCTAAACTTTAGATTTAACCTTTAGATTAAACCTAGCATACTAGAACAAAGCTTTTCATTACTGAAAATTAATATTTAAAAAATATCCAGCCACCTTTTTTTTATTTCAACTACTTCGTCTATTGGAAACTTTAATGTAAGAATATTTTGCGGATGGATGGATTCATGTCTTTCCAAAGGGCGTTAGTACGAAAGTGAAAGTTAAAAAAAATGCAGCATGTGTTATGAAAGTGAAAGTAAAAAAAAAAAAAAATTGAATAGAATTTGAACTCGGTTCAACGCCTTCTGCCCTGATAACTGGGACTCTGCCCGCACATAAAAGATAAATAAATACGATAATGTCTGTCTATATTTCTGAGATGAGGTATTATGTACAGTACGCCTTCTTCAGGTGGTTGGAATTTCGAACTGAACCCTCAAGGACACATGGCACAGTGGATAAAGGCGTTGGTTAGATCCAGTGACAGACCCAAAGAAGGTGAGTTCAATACCTGGTTAAGGCAGTGGAGAACTTTCAGAGGGAAAATTAGCAGGAGATAACTGATAACTGACATCCATCAAAACATGGCACGTGGAACTAGAACAGTCTACCCCAGTGATCGAAATAAAGGGTTCAGTTCGAAATTCCAACCACTTGAAGAAGGCCGGATCGTACAACGGCCGAAACGTTGTGACAAATATGGCGACAAAGATGAGGACAATAGTCCGACTAATGTAAATACTGTAAATACGATAATCTTACTGCTGTGTTAAAATTATTGCACCTTCTCCACAAAACCGTTGAACAGCTATTGAGGGGATACTGCCCAATTTGTGGATCACCGGTCTAATACGAATCTAATTCAAATTGTTTTCAGTTTTGAAAGTAATCTATTCAAAGGTTATTAAAACCAACCGTAGTAAGCATTCTTTTTCTATAGCATTCAAGACTATACAAAAACAGAAGCGAACCGATACGTACAGATTTGCAATGGAAAGGACGAGTCGACTTGTAGATTTCCAAGCCTTCCGTTTTGGACGTTCGCTTTCATGATCTCAAGCGCTTTATTCTCTGATGAGTTAACAGAGAGTTCGGCAATGATACTCCCTGGTCTAAAAAGAAAAACGATCAAAGGTTAGCTAAGAAATAACGGAATAGAACAATGTGTTTCATTGATTTCAAACAACAACTACAAATAGAAATATACTTAATTCGAAACTGTTTATAAAATTATTTACATTACCACAATATGTCCTGCGTCTTCAGGTGTGTGTTGATCTGAATAGCTTTCAGAGAATTTTGTACTGAAACTGTTATTTAATCGACGGGAATATCTTCTCTTCTTTTTTAGTAATTTCATTTGTTTCCACTGTCCACGCCTTATGTTACCCGGTCGAGTGACTGAACTCGGTCGGTCAAAATTTCACGAAATAGGGAAAACGCTGGACTGAGAACTGGAAGCCTTGAACCTAATGTTTTAAATTCCTTGTTGCAGACAAATATTACTTATAAAATAAAGCACTTCTTATATCCGAACCCGAGAAACGAGTAAATCAGCGCCCAAATTAATAAAGAGATCATTTTACCATCTTCCCCACTAGACTATTTAAGAGGAAGGGGATGATGAATTACACATATGTCTGAAGGAACATGATCAGCTATATACTGAAGAGAAATGACTTATATATATATATATATATATATATATACACACACACACGCAAAAACACATGCACACACACACACACATACACACACACATATATATAATGAATTTATAAAGAAGTGAGAAATATATATAAAGAAATCAGAATGAAGGAATACAAAATTTACCGGAATAAAGATAGTAGCATTTTACTAAATATTCGTTAATCAAGCAAGGCGATAATGCCACTTAGACGCAAAGGGGCTACTGGAAGTGAAAGAGAATTAAAAGGCTTTAGAAGGAACTGGAAATCCATTCCTAAACAGGAAACAAGGGATAAATCTTTACTCCTGTTCAAAAGACCCAGGAAGAGTGTGAACTGGGCGATAGGTGAATCTATCTACTACCATAATGGAAAAGTAAATAAATGTCAAGGTTCTGGCGGAGAAATTAGCAGTATAGATTTGAAATAGAGTTTTAAACAGGAAAGAAGGAATAACCCTCTACTCCCCTTCAAAAGGCCGGGGAGGGTGTGAACTGTACGATAGGTGAACCTATCTGCTCCTATTTGAGAAAACTAAAATAAATAATAAATAAAATTTTAATGTTTAGGCGGAGACTTTAGATATATAGAGTTGAAATAGACTTTAGAAGGAACCGGAGAAAAGTCCTAAACAGGAAAATAAGCGAACCTATCTATTCCTGTTGTGGAAAAACAAATAAATAAATAATAAATAAAATTCCAGAGTTTAGGCAGAGACGTTAAAAGTATAGATTTCAGTCAGTTCATTTTTATAAATTCTAAATATCTAAACATATAACCATTAAATTGGCTGAATATATATATATATATATTGGCTGAATATATATATATATATATATAGATTTTATTTTTAGTTCGAAATATTTTATTACTTCAAACTGTATTATTATTGTATATCAGTATTTGAGTAGATACTTTGTTTCTTAAACAGTGTTTATTTCGTCTATCGTCCTGCGTACTCGAGAAAAATAAAGAAAGAGTATCATCCGGTAGATTTAGAACATGCATTCTCTTTTAAAGAGAAACCAACGTCACATCCGGCGTACTTTACGGGGCTTCACAGTCAACTAATGTTCAATTTGCCGTTAATGAACATTCACTTGAAAACACATATCTGCTCGGTTTTCTATTAAATGCGGGTATCCACTAAAAATTAAAATCTTACGAAACTGATCAGATTATTATGATCAATATATATATATATATATATATATATATATATATATATATATATATATAAAAAAATATAGTTTTAAGGTATGCTATATTTATGGTATAGAGGGCATGTAAATATAAAACTAGACAGTGGGGTCAATACCCACCGACGACAGTTTCATGCTTAAATGGCTGGAAGATTGCGTTTAAGCATGAAAATGTCGCCGCTTGGTGTTGACACCAATGTCCACTTATATATATATATATATATATATATATATATATATATATAAGCAAGTGTAAATGGATATAAATCCGACAGAATGAAGAAATTTTGAAAAACAAAAAAATCCTTAAATCCTTAAACTACATTTATGATTTTTGTTTTTTTTTCAAAATTTTTCATATATATATATATATATATATATATATATATATATATGTGTGTGTGTGTAGCTTGCGGGCTATCACGCTATGGTACGTGCCTAAGATATTTACTAATATTTTCTTAGTGTGGCCGAAAGGTATATTGAAATGGGAATTACAACTAAGGTGAGCCTCTCTGTCTACCTTGAAAATCAGAGTTAAAATCTTAGCTTTTTTATCTGAACTCGAACACTGTCCACTGGGATTTGTAAGGGATCAACTTTTTTTTTCTCTCAGCAGGCTACTGTGGACATATGTAATGAGCGATTTATTCATAGTTTATAAAAGTTAAAACTTTGTATATGACCTTAATATGACAGAGTAGCTAGTTACATGTAAATATAAATATTTTATTTATATCTAGTGTTGTGGACTTGAAATGAGATCCCTGCTGACACCCATCCAACTTCTCGCCTTACGTAAATCAATAAAAATGTTAAATATGTACCAACCAACCTATCCTTTTTTATAGGATTGTATATCTAAGAAACCATTGGCGTCAATAGGCAATGATATAACAACTATAAACTCAGTGAAGCTTGTAAACCACTAGAAAAATTGTTCTGCTTCTACGCCTGAATCATCCGGAATTCCCAGTAGCCTTTGCTTGTGTCGATGTAATATAATATGTCCTATTTCACAGAAAAATAGAAGCGTTAATGTTCATCAGATTATATATAAGTCAATGTAGCAGCCAATATCAGATCACCACCAAAAATGAAATCGGCTGTTACGAAGTGATTCTAAAAGATGATGTTTAATGGAAGTCACTTTACTGTATGAACCGCTTTCTTTCCTGTTCATCGGATGAGAAATGAGACGAATACGGAGTAGAAAATTTTTTGAAATAAGACACGGAGAGAAAGGTAAAGGGACATATATTGGGGGAAATCAACTGGAAACTGCGTTGCAGACATTGATTTAGAAGGAAAAGGGAATAAGAGAGAGAGAGAGAGAGAGAGAGAGAGAGAGAGACGACAGTAAGGGTAGAAAGAGCAAAAAGAAAAAAGAAAGAAGAGAGATAGAAAGAAAAAGACAAAAAGAAAAGTGAGAGAAATATCACTTCCTTCAGAAAAAAGTATAAATGGTAAACGTCAATAATATTTGGACTTTTTTTTAATCATGCAGTTTAAAGTCATCATTATTATATGATATTCACACGCTTTTTCTTTTTTCAGTTATGCTCACCCTGTGTAGTATATTGTTGCTGGGCTCAAATAAGGAGACGAACACTTATCTATAAAAATATATAAATATCTTTATTGTATACTTGCGGTGAATAAGTAGATTGAGGCAGAATCACGGAGGTTAGGATTGCGCAAACAGGAATTGACGGAGAAAAATCTTTCGTGAACCTCTAGCCAGCATTTCTCTCCAGATCAAGAATCGAACCGGATATATAACATTTGGACACCTACGCGACTTCACGTAGTTATGACTTCTTCCGGTATGTCGCTTACGCAACTTCATGTGGCCACGCCTCTCTTGGCATGCGCCCACGCAAGCACATATTTCCTTCCGCTCAGGACACCTATGCATCCTGTTTATTCTAGTCTCAGTACACCTGTGCGCCCTCTCTGTTTTAGCCACCGGATGCATTTCCTGTTTATGCTATCATCAGTTTCGATTTCCGCTCACACACTGATGCAGCGGAAGTAAGGCCAAAGGTCTTTCCTCAACCAACATCTAACACCTGTACAAGACCCGAAGACTACTCGACATAGGGTGTTACATTAAGAGGCAGTTTATGCGGATAGAAGAGAAAAATAACGGATAACCTTAGACTTGAACAGGTTAAGATTGTAGTGGTCAGGGAAACATCATCTTGGGAGTTTGTTCTATAGAGCATTGGTTTTCGGGAAGAAGCTGTTCAAGTGGAAATTAATTTTCAATGGAAAACGGAGAGAATGTGGGTGATTTGTTACGATGAGAGTGGCATTGTGGGCCCTAGCCGTGAAAGTTAGAACTGGCGGTACCAAGGAATATAGTCCGCGCAAGCACTTTCTGTGGACGTAACGCTAGAGCAGGGAGAGGCTTACCACGTTGTGTGTGTGTGTGTGTGTCTGTGTGTGTGTGTGTGTGTGTGAGAGAGAGAGAGAGAGAGAGAGAGTTTAGAATGTAGAAAATAATTTGCCACCTACAAGGACTCAGACGCTTTTGGATTCTTTCGAGACTGGAGTCTGATCATTGGGTAGCTTCTACCCAAATACGACAACAATTTAAACCTGATTTGGATCTTGTAAAGGTAGAGGATAGCATCCGAAATCAGGTAATTACTGAAGCGGTACATTTTTCCTGTATCTTTTGCGATGGATCATATGTATGAGTTCCACTTGAGGTCAGGTGTGAATCTATGATCCAATAGTCTTTCAAGGAACAAGACTCCCCGAGGTGACCTATTCATCGAGACTGGCGCTAGTTCGTGGTCCGACCAACGATGATGGAATGTGACTAGTTTGGTTTTCGAGACATTGAATGTAACATTTCAGATTCTTCCCCCAACTGAGAAGTTAGTGCTAGACCGGATGAGAGAGCAGCTGCCAATCTCTGACCATCAAAAGTTTTACAGGTGTACCCATATATCGTCGTATCATCGGCATAGATGTTCATAAATGATCTGACCATATTCTTAGGCAGATCATTTATGTAAAGTCAAAAGACATGAACCTTGGGGAACGCCTGCACTGACCGTTAATAACTACATTCAGGGACCTACCCGTTAGGAAGGACTTCATAATTGATTCACTAATTTGTTTTTTTCTTACGGTTTATCAACCCTTTGTAAATTATTCAAAGTCAGAATATATCTTGGATTGTAACAACAATTTTTTTTTAATTAATGAATTTTGCATAAACAATTTTTTGAGAACAAACATGGTTTCTCTAGATATAAGACCTACCATTCAACCCATTGCTGGGGGTAGGAGATAGAAAAGTGTATGCGAATGTTACCCGATTGAGATTCGAACTTCGCTCTCCGATTTCTCATCCCGAGCCTCTACCCTCTACACTACCCTCACAGGATCACGCGGAGGGCTTTAAATAAAATTTCCTAATTATTACATTAATATTTTTATTTTTATTTTTTTTAAGCGTTTCACCCCAAGCAAGGCGAGAAGCCACTATGACGCAAGGGGTTACAGAAGATCAGATAGGAGTGATAGAAGAAAGGATGAGGAGAAGGGTAGTGGATAGATCAAGGCAACTGGATATGTCAATTGACATTACATTTGAATAGCTGGAGATTATAGCTATCGGGGAAACAGGAACAGAGAAGGGAGTTCCACAGGCGAGAGGTGCGAGACATGAAGCTATTGGAGTAGAAGAGACGGCTACATTTAGGAGTTTCGACAGTGAAAGGGTGAGAGCGGGATAATATCTAGTAATTGTGGTGGATCAGTTTATTAGTTAATCAAAAATAAAACCGAAAATCATTGTTTCGACCTCTTAGGATATGCCAGGTGCGATAAGCTTGAATGTGCGGGTGGTGCAATGGATAATGACTCGGAATTCTTAATCGGAGAGCCGAGTTCAAGTTCCCTTTGCGTTCGTTATATTCACTTACGCGCAATTTCCCTTGGGAAAGGTTTGAATCCACCTCTTTCCACCTCACTTATGTGATAATTAATAAAGCTTGTATCATTAAACCATTATTATTTCTAAAAAAATAAAATAATTGCGTACAAAATATTTAGATTCCGGCATTAAATAACCCATAGAGGTTGATAAGCTGCTCAACAAAAACAGCCAGGAACCAACTTTTTGAGTCCACTAAAATTTTGTTATAATACTCAGTCAGTTATGTGCCATGCATGATACACGCTTAGGCGATCATGTATCTTTCGATACATGACTGACAAGGCAGTTTTTCCCCCGCAGTAGGTTGCCATTTCTTTCTGTGGTAGACCAGTTGTCATACAAGGCTACAGAACCCGGTCTGTCCTGCTATTTATCATATGCGTTTTAAAATATTTTTCTATTAGTAATATTTAGTAATAATCTTTATTAATTAAAAATAAAATTCTATCACCTACCATAAATTGCGGCATACAAATCGACCTGGAGTAAAACTTGACCTCAAGATTTTTAGCTCAAAATTCTACAGCTATCGTATAGATCGAACTCAAACAAACGGTAGGCTACCAGTGGCCCAAAACCTAGGCCTACCTGTAAATTAACTTAGGCTACAGTATACGATAACCTATGCTCAAACAAGATAAATTCACACCACTTACCTGTATATTTAGACAATAGCCGGAATTTTGGATGCGATGTGAACTGTAGCGTTAATAGTATAATGAATTTGTGATACTATTTTATTGTTTTATATAAGTTCTGTGTTAATATACCAAATATGTTCAGCAAACGCAAGTTTTAATGGGATATATTTGTAGCAGCCTGCTGGAGGTATGGTAAGTGATGTCTATTAATTGTTAAAAGTTCTGTTTCGTTTCCAACTCGGTGGTAAAATTTTACATTTTATAATCATCATATAAGACGACCACTAGTTTTGAAAAGTTTTTCCCCATGAAAAATCGACTTGTACACCGCAATTTACAGTAATAATAAAATAAAACCAATCCTTATTATGTGTCCAATAGAATCTATCACGTAAAAAATATAGCATTTACGGAATGTTGCGGAACTACTTCTTGGCCAGTGTTCACATGTAAATGACACCTGTCTATATTTCTGAGATAAGATATTCTAGCTATTTACATTGTTCGGACTGTTGTCCTTATCTTTTTTCCATATTCATGACGTTTCGGCCATTGTACGCTCTGGCCTTCTTCAGGTGATATACGTTAGAATATGGTTCAGTTGGTTGAAGTAATTCAGTGATTTGACCCAAAGAGTTGTGAGTTCAATACCTAGCCACAGTAGAGGTAAACAAAAAACAAACTTGGAGAGTTAAGTTACTTAAGAGAAATAGCTGAAACTGAGATATCCAGAAGAAGCATGGCACGTGGAACGTGGTCAATCTGCCCCAGTAGACTAAATAAAGGGTTCGGTTCAAAATTCCAATGTATATCACCTAAAGAAGGCCGGAACATACAGCGGCCGAAACGTCGTGAATATGACAATAAAGATGAGGACAACAGTCCGAACAGTGTACATGTTAATGTCGGTTTGTCATTATTTTCCGAGGTAAAAGGAATAGAATGAATATGGAATTTTACATCACGGAGATATTGTCTTGTATTTTTATATCATTAGCTACACGAGATAGAAAGTTGGGGAGAACCATGATCGCCTATGTCCTGAAGGGACGCGCAAGAAAGAAGAAGAAGAAGAAGAAGAAGAAGAAGAAGAAGAAGAAGAAGAAGAATTGATTATAAAAAAGAGAAAATACATTTGAATGTACATAAGTGTAATGAAAGAAAAGCGCTGAATAAATGAATGTCTCTGGATTCTTGTGCGCGTGTGTGTATAAAAGTTCAGTCGTAAAACACTCGCGGGAAAGATATTGTCTGCAGTGGTGATATGTTCCTTGTTGGTGTGCTTCTTACCGTATGCGAGGAGAAAAGAGAAAGAAAAAGGTATACACGTCCTTTATAGTGCTTAAACAGCTCCACCTAACACCATCTTTGCAGATCAAGTGGGGGTAAACCCCAAAGGAATTTATATTTCAACTCCTTAAAGTTCATCACATGTGAGAATTTAAATATTTTTTACCACTTATCATTATAGCACTTTACTCTTTTACGGAGTCTGTTTCTTCATCTCCCAGCTTCGTAAATATTTTGGACCAGTCAGTCATTGTCATAGCAAAAGTACTGTAACCGAGCGTAACCGATGCAAAAAAAAAAAAAAAAAAAGAGGCAGCAAAAAGTTACAAACAAAAAATATACAAATACCCGTAGCGTGTTATACATACAGATGATAAAATGAAACAGTACCATCAGCACTTTTAAGTATATCGCTGTCAGTATAAGTAAACTTTGATTTAGAAGTCTCGCCATCGTTTTAGGTAGATTTATCCTGTGCACAGTTATGCCTTAAATCTCTTTGCTCACAATCAGATGGCCTTTTGCCTTTTTGTCTCGATTCGTTGTGCAGTGATATCATTTGTCAACTGACCCACCTGCAACGGATCACAGAAATCGCCTTGATCATTAGTTATCTTGGCAAAGAAAGAACCAGGTCAAACGATCCTGACAAAGAAGGTCATTGAGTGAGATCAGACGTTGAGTGCCTGATGAATTACTTTTTTAGACAAAGATAATAAGACAAAGAACGCTGTTCTCTATAAGACAGTGGTTCATAGCAGCAAAATCCAGAAAGACACAGAGAGGCAGAAAAGGACACAGAGAGGGACAGAGGACCGCTCGCCGCCACTCGAAAAGGAAGACACCCCCAGTGGACTGTTCGTCCACCCTCAACTTGCTTCACCTCTGCCTCACTCATCTACAGCAGAAGGTTACACGCAGAATAATATTTGCCTATTGCTATAACCATTTCATGGTTTTATTTTCGTAGGTAACGATCTAGCCAACGTGTTATTTTTTTTAAGTCAACAGAATTTGATTGGATAATGCTGCATCCTGAGGACAAACCCGGTGTTGGTCTGAGCTGCAACAATGTAGTTGTATAATAAAAGCTGATATTTCTCGCTGTCACCATTTATTGTCCGTCATATCAACAGTAACAAGAGTCGTAAAAGTCCAGCCGCAGATTGAATTATGTGACAGTCCTAGTAACGGTCATGACAATATTAGAATGAGTTATAAATAAAACTTACCTAAATTCCAGTATCTCAACTTCAGAAACTTTACCATTCAAGGAAGAATTAACCTGAAAAAAAAAACGCTTTGATTTTAATTAACTGTCAATTGCTTTTTTTGTTGTTGTTTTCTTTCAGATTCTGTCTATATTTCTGAGATGAGGTATTATGTACAGTATTTACATTAGTCGGACTATTGTCCTCATCTTTGCCGCCATATTTGTCACAACGTTTCGGCCGTTGTACGCTCCGGCCTTCTTCAGGTTGAACTCACCTCGAGGACACATGGCACAGTGGATAAAGGCGTTGGTTAGATCCAGTGACAGACCCAAAGAAGGTGAGTTCAATACCTGGTTAAGGCAGTGGAGAACTTTCAGAGGGAAAATTAGCAGGAGATAACTGATAACTGACATCCATCAAACATGACACGTGGAACTAGAACAGTCTACCCCAGTGATCGAAATAAAGGGTTCAGTTTGAAATTCCAACCACCTGAAGAAGGCCGGAGCATACAACGGCCGAAACGTTGTGACAAATATGGCGACAAAGATGAGGACAATAGTCCGACTAATGTAAATACTGTTGTTTTCTTTCCTTTACCAAATATCGATTAAAAAACATCTAGTTCGCATTGAATTACACGCGTGACTGAATATTATGTAAAAGTGTTAAATTTTAAAAACATATAAACAAAAATCTTTAAAAAAATTCCTGGCAGCGATATTCAGAGAACTTATAACGATTAGTTCGTTACTTATTTTAGTGCATCATTCTACCTACAGTTATTGCCACGTGACGCCAACAATAGTCAATGCATTATTTAAACAAATTAGCCGTAAATAATCAGCAATGCTTTTTATAGCCATCTGTTACTTTATATCATTGTCAACTAAAATTGCTTTTACATTTATTAGTGAAGTAATCATACTAAGTAACGTGGTTAATCGAAATAAGTGCTGAATAATTTGTTGCGTTTAAATAGCAGAACAGACCGGGTTCTATAGCCTTGAATGGCAACAGAAAGAAATGACAGCCTACTGCGGGAACAAAATCTGTCTCGTCAGTCATTTATCGAAAGATACATGATCGCCTAAGAGTGTATCACGCATGGCACATAACTGATTGACTGACTGAAACTAGCAATGAGTTATCTTCCCTTGAAAAATGCGCCACAAGTAATAAGTAACCAAATGCAGTCGCTTAATTAAATAAAAAAAATGAGAATCTTATTTTCCCGAAAAACTTTTTTAAGAAAAAGATTTTATAGGTTTCAATGTTAGATCAATGCAGAAAGTTTCCTTCATAAAAACTGTTATCTCACCACTACTATTACCATTCACAAGGCTGAGTTCAATGTGAATATATCATAAACAGTGATAATCTATAATATTATTGTGCTATGGTCTATGTAAGTAAATACTGGTAATGCCTTTCAAGGGTAAGTAATCGATGCGAAATTATCAATTAAAATTAAAACGTATACAGTTGTTAAAATTATAAAAAAGGGAGTAACAAACATGTTAAACGCCAACATTTTAGGGTTTTAACTATTTAAATAAGCTTTATTAATTTATTTTATTTAATTGAACATCAGCTTAATTCATTAAGTCCTTAATTTAGCGTAATCTAGGTAGTACCACGGACTTTATAAAAAACCGCGAAAAGACGCATTTTAAATAATTTAAATGCTTACATTGAACTGAAATTTCCGTTCTATTTAAAAGATAATGTCCTAAAGCTAATCTGAATTAAAAGAGTAATCAATTTCTTTATATATATAAACTTTTTAGGCACTTTTTACGTCATTCATCGAGCCGCTATTGTATACGGAAAATGAAAACAACAAATTTAAAATTTTCTTTAAAATCCAGTATCTGTCGTAGAGATGTGTTGCGAAGGAAATTTATGGATTAATTAACTCGAATTTTTAAAGTAATGCTTACCTTTTACTATAATTTTACCCCTGCTCGCAGACATAAAAACTGAACGGGGTTAGATTAATATCATATAAAACCCCTGAAATGTGAAAATAATACTGATTTTTAGATTCGGGTACAACATACTCGCCTTTACCATCGTAGCAAACTCTTTGTTTCCCAGTATTATCGAAATAGTTTATTTCCTGAAAAAAAGAACATGCACCTAGTGAGGATCGAACTCAATACAATAACTGAAGTGTCAAAAAATTAGGGACAGCTACCTAAAAACATGCAGCTCCTCGCTTCGTTTGAATAACATTGGCTGTGCAAAGCAGCATGAAGTCCACGTGGGCCATTGTGTGGATATAGCTATCCAGACAACTGTCTATAACTAGATTGCATCTGTTGTGAGTTACTGACATATAGTGACGTCTACAGCATGCTAAGTTCAACAGTATTTGAATTTGACAAACATGGGAACAATGGAGTATTTGGAAATCAATGAGTTGAGAGTTCCCAGAACAATATTTGTCACCATCAGGAAACGTGGCAAACATTAAAAAATGTAAATGGTTTGCTACGAGATCTGTGTATGTCACACGCATATAAACAACTTCACTAGTGATACATGCGATTTCTAACAGAACACTATACTAGTATGAAGCCAACACCAGATTGGACAACATTCTGTTAACCTATAGTCATTTGAGATTAACAATTTTCCATCTGCACTTTTTATTAGTTTTATTATTATGGTCCGTGGCATGTTCTCTTTGCAATATCCCATATAGCCAATTAAGTTTCGTACAAACATCTTTATTTATTCCCGAGAAGAGTATATATAGGGTTTAAAGACGTGTTTCTGTCAATTTATGTAAAAGTTATGGTTAGCCAAACTTTTGAAGTCAAATATTTCAAAACTACAAAACATGCAGATGGAACCTTTTTTGATTCAGGGTGAAGATATATGATTTCCACAACACACGGATTCACAGGAAAAAGCTGGAAATATGACTCGTTCGACAAGGTGACATGGCGGTGGTTCTCCACCGTTCAGGGTCAATTTTCATTGGCCCATTTGAGGCACAATAAATGATATCAACAATGATATACTTGATCTATGGTTATATTGGGCGCCTGGCTGGCCGAATGGTTAAAATGTTAACGCCCCTACCATGATGTCCCGGTCGATTTTGTCATGGTCTCGATCTCAGCACCTCTCGAAAGAGCCCGAAAACCATACCCTAGCCTTGTAAGTGAAATAGGATAGACGAAACTGTTTGAAAGCCACCGAAACCACATATAGTTTACTGACCTTGTTCAAACTGGTGATCACGTCAGATGATGTGCTCTTTCTCTCTCTCTCTCTCTGTCTCTCTCTGTCTGTCTGTCTCCCTCTCTCTCTCTTAAATCTTTCTTCAGGTGATTGGAATTTCGAACCGAACTCTTTATTTAATCCACCGGGGTAGATTGTTCTAGTACCACGTGCCATGCTACTTCCGGATGTCTCAGTTATTTCCCTTTAGCTCCACTCAGGTTTGGTTCACCACTGCTGTAGCCTGATATTGAACTCACAGACACATTGTTAGATCCATTGACCAGACCCAAAGAGTTGTGAGCTGTGGTGAACCAAAACTTGGAGAGTCGAGTTAAAGGGAAATATCCGGAAGAGGCATAGTACGTGGAATTAGAACAATTTACCCCAGTGGGCGAAATAAGGGGTTTGGTTCGAAATATGGCAATGAAGATGTGGATAACAGTCCGAATAATGTAAATAATGTAGGTAAACTCAAATTTACCTGAGAAGGCGTCTGCAACAGGCGTTAACTAGTCACCCTAACGGACAAGCATATTCGTAAACGGACAAACAGACAAAAAATAGTTCGGTGATTGATGGGATGAGTGGTACTATCTTTTAAATTAGGATATGCACATTGTCTGATTAACATCATTGTCAGTCATCAGCTGTTTATATCGCCTGTCGGTGCCCGAAGTTTTTACATGCTGCTGATATCTGTCTAAAACTTTCATATTTTTCCCGGCATGCACTTGGGATTGCTCCCTCCCTACACCAAAAATAGAGTAGTTATAATATCAGAGGTAGAATGTCCCATCTTTCTGGGCCATAGAATAATTACTTAATCAAACTTTAAATTATGCCCACGTATCCTATAGCCACAGCTACAACGTCACAGCTACATTACCACTTTGCCTATTATATCACAAGTACATAATCAAGATGAGTTCATTTCAGCAAATTGGGGAGGGCGGAACAATCCAATGTGCTGGTATTCCTAATTTTTAGCACTTCAGATAAATAGTAGTGGTCTGAAATATTAGTTCCTTATATATTAGTGTTTTCATTAATAATGCGCTCGGGCAGACTCAACACAAAAGTCACCCTATTTGTACCAGCGACGAGATTTAACATCAAAGGCATTGCCTTTGCTTGCATTTCGTGTTCAACTAATGAAGAAAACATCTTTTACTTACGTTATTTTTTATATCACGTTGTAAGGTGGAATATTCAGTTGAATCGTTAAGGAGGAGTTGCGGAGACCACGGTCTCAAGATACGTAATATGACGCTGATCTTTTTCCCTTTTGGAAAAGAAAAAAAATATTTATTAACATTAACAACTAAACACTATAAATATTTCTGCGTATGGATCATTTGCAACATATTTAACCTAGTAGATAGTGAAATCGAACATAGACTAGGCTGCTCTAGGGGATAGTTTCGCACAATACCGCAAATTACTACTAAACCAAAACATTAACTTCAAAACTCGAGTTATATTTTTAAATAGCTTCGTCATTGTTTGGTTGTCATACATGGTGCCAAATCCGTTCAGCTATATATAAATTGTCAACTGTATACAATCGCTTTCTCAGATCACTGATTAAGAATGGCCTGGAGCGCATGAAGCGTATCAGGCATGGACAAACTTTCTCGAGCAGTTTGGCCACATGATTTATAGCTCACAACAAGGCAGGCGGAACTACTAAAAAAAAATCAAGATCATTTTTCGTAACAGGTACCTCAGTTATTTTCACTACAGAAACCCATATGCGTGAGTATACACCTTAGAAATGGTAGGAAAGTTTTACTTTTTAGAAAATATATATTTTTTTATAATTAAAAAATTGAAGCCTTTGTATAATACTATCATTGATGAAAGTTTGATTATCACATGTCGCCGCGTGGGATTTATTTCTAATTTATTCATTTGAAAATGAAAACAGTTCTTTAGAGAAAAAATTCTTATGAACAACTTCTTTAGACCGACAAGGAAACCTGTTTCAAAAGCAAAAAATGTTTACACGTATGATCTCCCTTAATGAAAATTTCCAATAGTTTAAAATGCTGACAGCTTTAGTTTTCTCGAAAGTTTACAAAATTCAAGAAACATTGTACTTAATCATTGTTTATGCATGAGAGAGAGTGTGTGAGTGAACAAGTGAGAACGAAACAAAATAACATTTTAAGAAACGTTATTTTGCTTATGAAATTAACCATGTCATTCAAAAAGGCCAAACGGGTTGCATGTGGCCCGCAGGCCGCAGTTTACCCATGACTGGTATAGATCTTAGCGAAGATCATTGTTCTTCGAACCTTGTGGGTTGGTGCTACACAATCACGTACAAAAATTAGAAACAAAGGAAAGAATTCTGAACTTTTATGCAATACTATCTATATATGATCTATACCAGTCATGGGTAAACTGCAGCCTGCGGGCCACATGCGATCCTTTAGATCTTTCTGAATGGCACGGTTAATTTCATAAGGAAAATAAACGTTTCTAAAAATATTATTTTGTTTCGTTCTCACTTGTTCACTCACACATTCTTTCATACATAACCACATACATAAGTAATAAGTACAATGTTTCTTGAATTTTGTAAACTTTCGGGGAAACAATTGGCGATTTTCACTAAGGGAGATCATACGTGTAAACATTTTTGCTTTTGAAACAGGTTTCATGGTGGCTCTAAAGAAATCCGGGAATGCTGGACAATTTCCATGCAGATGAAGCAGAGACTTGAGGCAACAGAAATAAGGTTCTACTGATGGATGATGAGCCTTTGAAAACGAGTCAGAAACGAACAGTTGAACTGTCTGTCATTTATCGTGAAGAAAGGGGGCATTGAAAATTCAACACTGTGGACGTATTGGAAGGGCAGAAGAAAACACAGTATTCTACCTAGCGGACTTGTATAAATGGCTGTCACAACAGGGAGGGGTGCGGATAGTAGAGGCAAATATTGTAAAGAGCTGCAAAGAATGGGAAGCTTTAGAAAACCATGATCGCGCACACCCTAAAGGGACATGACAAAAAGAGGAAGAAGAAGAAAACGAAGAAGAAGAAATTTTAATATTTGTGGAAAAGTGGGTAATATTTGCCAAAAGACACGGTAATTTTTTTCATCTAATTGTTGCTTTTTATCTCAACTTTCTAAGTTTGTATATTAAATTGTAAAAGTAAAATAGGGATAAAGCGTAGCTTTTGATGCAATTTTAACTCGCATCTTATATCTACAAGGTGTCCAGTAAAAAAGCAGAAAATTTAGAAAGATGTGAGACAACCGTTTAAAACTGATGACGACTGATGTAACTGAAAAATTCAGGGAGGATTTCTGCACTTATCGTCAGACCCCACGTCGGATAATTCTTTGAGCAGTACGATAACTTGACACTCAAAATCAGTGAATTGTTTAGTTAAACGAGAAGAGTAGAATGAAAGACGAAATATATCTGCAAATAACATTTCAATGACGAGTCACAGGATCGATCAGTAATTAATCAATCATAAAAGAACCAATAAGAGTTAAGTAATTACGATAGAATCGAATTATTATTCAAGGTCATGAATATTCAAGAAATTTATTCAGGGTTATTCAAGGTCAATTATTCCAAAAAGATAAAACTGATAATAAATTTACGGCTGTTTTTTTTTTTTTTTCTCTACTGGGCACCCTATATATAGTGAAGATATTGTGTTATACATATTTGACAAACCTTTCTGGATCAAACCAGGAATGGTTCGGTATCTTGATATTAGCATTTCTGTACAATAGCGTGTATTTTATCTAAAATCCCCCACCAAAAAAAGAACGATACTTTAAATCTTTCAGTTATGAGAATTCGAACTTTTGCTCTCACTATTGAGACATAGGAGGTAATTTTAAAAAATTGTAACCGTCAGTTTGTCCTTATGACATCATTCTGCCTGAATTCGTGCATATTGTTTCACTGCCTAACACAGAAACTGAAATCATGCAGAACGCGTAGGTTAACTGCAAGTAGCAAACCCTACCGTACTGGACAGAATTCTGACGACCAGAAATAAATTGGGGTGGTTCGAACACCGTAGGCATGGAATTCTTACAATGGTGGAACCTTTAAATTTGTTTAAATTTCACGATATGATTAAAAACGCTTAAAAACAGTAATGTTATGAGGCTGGAACAATGAAAACTCTTCACCGCTCTGAGATTCATTGGTGAGACAGGTTACCAAGTACCAATGGGTAGTTGTCCAACGTGTTGACATCACACCGATGAACAATTCAGAACCATTATCCATTACTGCTCTCACACATTCAAGCTTATAGCACCTGCTATTCCCCAAAAGGTCACACATCTAAGTATTGAGCAGGATCGAAGTTGCTTATCTTCGGTATTTCAACGTGATGTGGCCGTATCGTACAAATTTTAACTGGGTACATCGCAAAGGATATAGAAATTGCAGAATACTAAGTCGCACTATTTGTGTCAAATGTTCTTAGATGCGTAAATCACATTCTTTTAATGAATAGTTAAAACTAACTCAAATGTTATTCTATCAATTAAAAATAGAATTAATCAAAATACATACATGTAATTACTGGTTTCATTGTGGTTGTCATGGTTGTTGAAGTTAAAAGCCGTAGAGAAGTGGTAGTGGGCTGAGTAGTTGTTTCAGGAGATTGTGTTGTGCTAGTGTTCAATGTTGTTGTATCTGTGTTCATCTCTGTTATCATTTCTGTAGTTTTCCATGTTGTGGTGGACATATCTTCAGTTGGTAAAGATGATATAGTTACAGTGGTTGATTGTGTTGTTTTTACCTGTGTCGTATTTGGGACCCTCTTTGTAGTATCTATATATAATGTAGTGGCATCAGTGGTCATTTCTGTTGTCTGTAATGTTGTGGTGGACATATCTGTAGTTGGTAAAGGTACTGTAGGAGTCATGGTTGATTGTGTTGATTTTACCTGTGTCGTATTTGGGACCATCTTTGTAGTATCTATATATAATGTAGTGGCATTAGTGGCCATTTCTGTTGTTTTTAATTTTGTGGTGGACATATCTGTAGTTGGTAAAAGGTACTGTAGGAGTCATGGTTGATTGTGTTGTTTTTACCTGTGTCGTATTTGGGACCATCTTTGTAGTATCTATATATAATGTAGTGGCATTAGTGGCCATTTCTGTTGTTTTTAATTTTGTGGTGGACATATCTGTAGTTGGTAAAGGTACTGTAGGAGTCATGGTTGATTGTGTTGTTTTTACCTGTGTCGTATTTGGGACCATCTTTGTAGTATCTATATATAATGTAGTGGCATTAGTGGCCATTTCTGTTGTTTTTAATTTTGTGGTGGACATATCTGTAGTTGGTAAAAGGTACTGTAGGAGTCATGGTTGATTGTGTTGTTTTTACCTGTGTCGTATTTGGGACCATCTTTGTAGTATCTATATATAATGTAGTGGCATCAGTGGCCATTTCTGTTGTTTTTAATTTTGTGGTGGACATATCTGTAGTTGGTAAAGGTACTGTAGTAGTTATGGTTGATTGTGTTGTTTTTACCTGTGTCGTATTTGGGATCCTCTTTGTAGTATCTATATATAATGTAGTGGCATCAGTGGTCATTTCTGTTGTCTGTAATGTTGTGGTGGACATATCTGTAGTTGGTAAAGGTACTGTAGTAGTCGTGGCTGATTGTGTTGTTTTTACCTGTGTCGTATTTGGGACCATCTTTGTAGTATCTATATATAATGTAGTGGCATCAGTGGTCATTTCTGTTGTCTGTAATGTTGTGGTGGACATATCTGTAGTTGGTAAAGGTACTGTAGTAGTCGTGGCTGATTGCGTTGTTTTTACCTGTGTTGTAATTGGGACCATTTTTGTAGTATCTATATATAATGTAGTGGCATCAGTGGTCATTTCTGTTGTCTGTAATGTTGTGGTGGACATATCTGTAGTTGGTAAATGTGTTGTAGTAGTTGATTGTGTTGTTTCTACCGGTGTCGTATAATTTGTCACCTGATTAGATGACACTATTCTCGCATTAGTGCTTATATAGTCAGTGGTTTCTGCCGTCACTTCATTTCGCTGTATGTTTGTCATTGAAGTGGGTGCATCTGTTTCTATCGATGGCTGGATTGTTTCGGAAGATGTCTGAGTGATGGAATTTGTACTATCTGAAAAAAAATTGTTTATGATGTTAGAATTTAATGAAAAGGTTGTTTCTGTTGTGACACGTTCAGTCACCGATCCTGAAACAGGTAACGTTGGTATATACGTAGGTGTAATATTTACTACAAGCTGTGTTGTATCGTAAGAAGAGCCCGGAACTATGACTGATGGCCATGTAGACATCATGTCGGAAATATCTGAAGTTTGTGCGTTAGTTAAAGCGAGGGATATTTGTTTCGATGTATCTGTTAATCTTTCGTCTGATATAAAGGTACCTGTTTCAGTTATCGGATCAACCGTGGATTTTTCATCAAAGCTTAAATCCATTTCCGAAGATCGATCATAAATCGTATCACCTAAAGTAGATGCAAGGAATGCATTTGTAGTCTCCATCATTTTAGATGTTGTGAATTCTTCTCTATGCTTCCCACCAATAGAGGAAGCTAGTGTATCAGTTTGGCTTGTAGTGTTAAAATATAAATCAGTTGCAAATTCGGATATGTCTGTTGAGATATGTGTCATCTTGTCCGGAATATTGGCCATATCTGTAGAAATAGTATTAGTAATAGGATATAAGCTTGTTGTAGAATCTGTGAAAAAATCTGTCCTTTCTGTAGAGACAGAATTTATTTTTATATCAGTTATGGTAGAATCTGTCATATTGCTGAAAGAATAGGTCATATCAGCAGAGTGATTTTCTGTTAATATATCTGTCGATAAAATTGAATCTGTAATATTTGGGACAGACACTTCAGTTTCCGTGTAAGATGTTTCGGTTGTTATAACTGTCGATAAATTAGTAGAATCAGTCATATTAGTCACTAAATCTGAACTTTCGGTAGTAAAAGATTCTGTCACCGAATCTGATGATGAATTTATATAATTTGTCATATTAGTAACAGAATCTATAATTTCGGTAGTTAAAGATTCTGTCACCAAATCTGATGTTAAATTTATAGAATCTGTCATATTTGTCATATTAGCAGTAATTTCGGTATTTAAAGATTCTGTCGACAAATCAGATGATAAAGTTATAGAATCTGTCATATTAACAGAATCTATAGTTTCGGTCGTTAAAGATTCTGTCACAATATCTGATGTTGAATTAATAAAATCTGTCATATTTGTAAATGAAGCAGCAGTTTCGGTAGGCAGAGATTCTGTCGTCATATCAGATGATAACGGTTGAGAATCTGTTATATTTGGGAAGGAATCTGTAATTTCGGTAGTTAAAGATTCTGTCACCAAATCTGATGATGAGTTTATAGAATCTGTCATATTTGTAAAAGAAGTAGAAATTTCGGTATTTAAAGATTCTGTCGACAAATCTGATGATAAAGTTATAGAATCTGTCATATTTGTCAAAGAAGCAGTAATTTCGGTAGTTAAAGATTCTGTGAGCAAATCTGATGATAAAGTTATAGAATCTGTCATATTAGTAACAGAATCTATGATTGCAGTAGTTAAAGATTCTGTCACCAAATCTGATGATGAATTTATATAATCTGTCATATTAGTAACAGAATTTATAATGTCGGTAGTTAAAGGTTCTGTCGTCTTATCTGATGATAAATTTATAGAATCTGTAATATTTGTCACATTAGCAGTAATTTCGGTATTTAAAGATTCTGTCGACAAATCAGATGATAAAGTTATAGAATCTGTCATATTAACAGAATCTATAGTTTCGGTCGTTAAAGATTCTGTCACAATATCTGATGTTGAATTAATAAAATCTGTCATATTTGTAAATGAAGCAGCAGTTTCGGTAGGCAGAGATTCTGTCGTCATATCAGATGATAACGGTTGAGAATCTGTTATATTTGGGAAGGAATCTGTAATTTTGATAGTTAAAGATTCTGTCACCAAATCTGATGATGAGTTTATAGAATCTGTCATGTTTGTAAAAGAAGTAGTAATTTCGGTATTTAAAGATTCTGTCGACAAATCTGATGATAAAGTTATAGAATCTGTCATATTTGTCAAAGAAGCAGTAGTTTCGGTAGTTAAAGATTCTGTCAGCAAATCTGATGATAAAGTTATAGAATCTGTCATATTAGTAACAGAATCTATGATTGCAGTAGTTAAAGATTCTGTCACCAAATCTGATGATGAATTTATATAATCTGTCATATTAGTAACAGAATTTATAATGTCGGTAGTTAAAGGTTCTGTCGTCTTATCTGATGATAAATTTATAGAATCTGTCATATTTGTCACATTAGCAGTAATTTCGGTATTTGTAAATGAAGGAGCAGTTTCGGTAGGCAGATATTCTGTCGTCATATCTGATGATAACGGTTGAAAATCTGTTATATTTAAAGGTTCAGTTGTCAAATCTGATGATAGATTCATAGATTTTGTCATATTTGTCAAAGATGCAGTAATTTCGGTAGGTAAAAGATTCTGTCGTCATATCTGATGATAAATTTATAGAATCTGTCATATTAGTAACAGAATGTGATGATGAATTTATATAATTTGTCATATTAGTAACAGAATCTATAATTTCGGTAGTTAAAGATTCTGTAGTCATAACTGATGATAAATTTATAGAATCTGTCATATTAGTAACAGAATCTATGATTGCAGTAGTTAAAGATTCTGTCACCAAATCTGATGATGAATTTATATAATCTGTCATATTAGTAACAGAATTTATAATGTCGGTAGTTAAAGGTTCTGTCGTCTTATCTGATGATAAATTTATAGAATCCGTCATATTTGTCACATTAGCAGTAATTTCGGTATTTAAAGATTCTGTCGACAAATCAGATGATAAAGTTATAGAATCCGTCATATTAGTAACAGAATCTATAAATTCGGTAGTTAAAGATTCTGTCACCAAATCTGATGATGAGTTTGTAGAATCTGTTATGTTTGTAAAAGAAGCAGTAATTTCGGTATTTAAAGATTCTGTCGACAAATCTGATGATAAAGTTATAGAATCTGTCATATTTGTCAAAGAAGCAGTAGTTTCGGTAGTTAAAGATTCTGTCAGCAAATCTGATGATAAAGTTATAGAATCTGTCATATTAGTAACAGAATCTATGATTGCAGTAGTTAAAGATTCTGTCACCAAATCTGATGATGAATTTATATAATCTGTCATATTATTAACAGAATTTATAATGTCGGTAGTTAAAGGTTCTGTCGTCTTATCTGATGATAAATTTATAGAATCTGTCACATTAGCAGTAATTTCGGTATTTGTAAATGAAGGAGCAGTTTCGGTAGGCAGATATTCTGTCGTCATATCTGATGATAACGGTTGAAAATCTGTTATATTTAAAGGTTCAGTCGTCAAATCTGATGATAGATTCATAGATTTTGTCATATTTGTCAAAGATGCAGTAATTTCGGTAGGTAAAGATTCTGTCGTCATATCTGATGATAAATTTATAGAATCTGTCATATTAGTAACAGAATGTGATGATGAATTTATATAATTTGTCATATTAGTAACAGAATCTATAATTTCGGTAGTTAAAGATTCTGTAGTCATAACTGATGATAAATTTATAGAATCTGTCATATTAGTAACAGAATCTATGATTGCAGTAGTTAAAGATTCTGTCACCAAATCTGATGATGAATTTATATAATCTGTCATATTAGTAACAGAATTATAATGTCGGTAGTTAAAGGTTCTGTCGTCTTATCTGATGATTTATAGAATCCGTCATATTTGTAGTTAAAGGTTCTGTTCTGTCTTAAATGATGATAAATTTATAGAATCTGCATGTTTGTAAAAGAATCTATAATTTAGTCACATTATGATGAGTAATTTCTGTTATTTAAAAAAGAAGCAGTTTCGATTCTGTCGACAAATCAGATGATAAAGTTATAGAATCCGTCAAAGATTAGTAACAGAATCTATAAATTCTGTCATATTAGTAACAGAATTAAAGATTCTGTCACCAAATCTGATGATGAATTTATAGAATCTTTATAATGTTATGTTTGTAAAAAATTTATAGAAGTCAGTTAATTTCGGTATTTAAAGATTCTGTCGACAAATCTAACGGTTGAAAATGATAAAAGGTTATAAATCTGATGATAGATTCTGATTTTGTCATATTTGTCAAAGATTAGGTAAAGATAATCATGAAAATTTATGAATTGCAGTAACAGAATTAAAGATTCTGTCACCAAATCTGATGATGAATTTATATAAATTTATAGAATCATATTAGTAACAGAATTTATAATTAAAGTTCTGTATGAATTAAAATCTGTTCTGTCAGTCTTTATCTGATGATGAAATTTATAGAATCTGTCATATTTGTCACATTAGCAGTAATTTCGGTATTTAAAGATTCTGTCGACAAATCAGATGATAAAGTTATAGAATAGGTTCCGGTAACAGAATCTATAAATAGAATCCGTCATATGATGAGTTTAACAGAATCTATAAATTCTGTCGACAAATCTGATGATAAAGTAAGAATCTGTCATTCTGTCACCAAATCTGATGATGAATTTATAGAATCTGTTATGTTTGAATTTAAAAGTTAAAGGTTCTGTCGTCTTATCTGATGATAAATTTATAGAATTTCATATTTGTCACATTTAAAGATTCTGTCGACAAATCAGATGATAAAGTTATATTAGTAACAGAATCTATAAATTCGGTATTTTCTGTCAAAATCTGATGATGAGTTTAGTTTCGGTAAAAGAAGCAGTAATTTCGGTTTTAAAGATTCTGTCGACAAATCTGATGATAAAATCTGTCATATTTGTAAAGAATCTGTTTCATAGTTAAAGATTCTGTCAGCAAATCTGATGATCTATGAATTGTCATATTAGTAACAGAATCTATGATTGTCACCAAATTCTGAAATGATGATGAATTTATATAATCTGTCATATTATTAACAGAATTTATAATGTCGGTAGTTAAAGGTTCTGTCGTCTTATCTGATGATAAATTTATAGAATCTGTCATATTTGTCACATTAGCAGTAATTTCGGTATTTGTAAATGAAGGAGCAGTTTTCGGTAG